GCCCATAAGTGCAGCCAGATCCATTGCGGAAAGTGTTAACGTTACAGCGAAGCCCTGACATTGAAAGGGCTGGCAGGCACTGGATGCTCCCCGTCTCTCACGGGGAGGGAGTAGAAAAAACAGCTGAGATGCATCTTCCGAAAGGGGGAAAAAAAAAAAAAAAAAAAAAAAAAAAAAGGAAACAATGGGAAAAAGGGACACAAGCTCTGAACGTGATTGCCCTCAGATTCATCCACTCGTGCCCCTAAGTGCGGCCAGATACATCCAGGAAAGTGCACATTCAGGAAAGTGGTAACGTTATTGTGAAGCCCTGAAGACCAAAGGGCTCGCGGGCACTCCTCACAAACGATTCCGAAAAAGAAAAAAAGAAAAAAAGAAAGCATTCCCGTTGCGCTTGTGTTTTCCTCTTTTTCCCCTCACTGCCTTCAGCTTCCACGCGCTTCCACATGCACAGCAAACCAACAGGACATCTTGCAGTCCACTGACCCCTTTTCCCTGGGCCCACGGGCTTCCTCCCCCATCGTGCTACAAGCCTTTTTTTTTTTCTTTTTTTTTTTTTTCAACTCGCCCACAAGCCTGATGTACTGCTGCGTGTGTTTTTTTTTCAAGCGGGGGAAGGTACTGGTGGTTTAACTGCACACCACCTTTCCCAAGCCCCTACCCTTTTTTTAAGTTTTTCTTTTTTTTTTCGTTCCCCAGCCCCCCACTTTCTTCTCCTTTTTTCCCCCATTTGTGCAAAGGGTTGATGGTTTTCCTCCTCTTCCTTTTCCGCTTCTTCCTCTGTCCTTTTGTATCCACTTCCGGGCTTCTCTTTCGTCCTCCTTTCTCCTTTTCTTTCTATTCTCCTTCTTCCTTTTTTCTGATTCTTCTTCTTCCCGATTCTTCTTCCTTCCCCTCCTTTTTCTTCTCCTTCTTTCTCGAGTGAAGTTGCATCTTTTTTTTTTTTTTTTTTTTTCCCTTCTAAATCTAGTGGGAGGTGGTATGAGCACCCTCCCACTAGTAGGCTTGCTGCTGATTGCCGTAATCTTTTGGTGGGGAACCACACCTGCTGGGAATGAAGTTACATCCTTTCTTTTAGTAGGGTTTACAGTTTTGACTTTACCTTTCTTTTCCTCTGCTTTCTGCTCCTTTCTCCCTCTTCCTCCTTTCGTGATTGCTCACTTGATTGATTGGCATTTTCCGTCGGTAGGGAAACATTTTGATTGGCCGCTTGATCGGTTGCTTGATTCGGCTTTTTAAACCGACAGTACCTGGCCTTCGTAGATAAATTTCATCGGTGGCCCGTGCTGCGTGAGGGGCCCACGGTCGGTCAATATGTGGGAATGGTACTGGTGGTTTGATTGTCTGACCGACTACTCGATTATGGCTTTGATTGACTGACTGGTTGATTGATTGGATGTACTTTGATTGCTTGATTCACTGCCTATTACTCTCCACATAGGTAGGATTTCAAGTGGTTCCCAATCGAATCGGCAGATTCGTTGATTTATTGATTGACAGGTCGATCGACTATATTGGGACCTGACTTCTCAAAATCGGAATTTTCCAATTTTGGGGGGAGATTTTATATAACAGATGTACTTAATGTTCAGAAAAGATGGTAGGCATCACCTATCGATGAAATTTGAGATCCACAACTAGATTTTTGTCTTGTCAATCCACATACCACAACGAACTGAGGAAAGTGATTGGATCTGGCGGCCCAGCCAAAGGTTGAACAGGTCTGTGCCTTGCTCTCTCTCCCTCTGTTTTCTCTGAGCCGTATTTACTTCACCAACTGACGCCGAGGCATCTCCCAGGCATTTTGTTCCAACATCATGGCCGGGTAACCACACAGCGTCCTTCCTTTGAGCTGAGCCAACCAAAAAAAGATTAAGGCTGGCGAATGGGAGTGTTTGCGAAGACCCCGATAATAAAAAAAAAGGGGTGCTTGCCATGCTGTGGGGTATGCTTGGGCAGTGCACATGCCGGCGACACGTATGTACCGCAAGCCTACCTATGGGCAAGCGAGGCGGAAGGGAAGAACTTATGCCCGCAGTGTCACGGTCTAAATTGACCCCGCCTCGGGGAGAGGGGCGACTGCGACTGGGGATAATTGATCCCCGATGGCAAATTTATGGCGCTGCAGATGCGGAACGTGCTGTGGCACTTGCTGGGGATATCAGGTGAGCCAGGTCTCACAGCGTCGTATGGCAGCGACGCTTAGGAAACCTGAATACAGGTTGGATCTATGTTTGACAAGTAAGACCTCGATTGGGCATGTGAAGAGGGGCATGGCATGGTCGACCCGCTGACGCTGTGGAAGAAGGTGGATTTGTTAAACGAGTTGCAAGGTACTGCAAAGTCTACAATCAATACTTACTTGGCAACGGGCCTATTTGTGATGAGAAGGGGAAAGAAGAGTATCAGCGGCAGGGAGCGAGAGGGGCGTTCGGGTATCAATGGGCGGCTGGGCGGCCGGGCGGCCTGTGGTATTTGCAAGGTTGGACAATCTATGGGATCTACACAAGAGGGATTGGAAGACGGAAGCGGAGATGATCCAGCCTCTCCCACGGCAGTTTTGGAGGGAGAAGAGACACAGAGAATTACAGGAGGCTATCCCGACACAGTGGGTATACCTATAAAAGACGGGGACGGTGGAGAGGGGAGAATGGGCAAAGCAAAAGGGGGAGCAACGCCCGAAGGTGCTGTACCGAGTAGAAGGGACTGCGGGAGAGGGGAGAATGAGAGCGACTGAGTGGATAGTAGATGCAGGATACGAGGGATTGGGCACCCCCCTGAGGGGAGGAGGAGAGGAGGGTACCCTGCAGTTTCGGACTCTGTCAGTGGAGGAAAAAGAAACTGTAGCAGTCTGTAATGGAGGGAAAGGGAGGGAGGTGTACCGCCCCTTCTGCACAGGTAAAGCCAAACGGGACTTAGTGATCGTCCGATGGGAATGGAGGTGGCCAGCACAGAATCATAACACCAAGAGTGTGCCATTGCACCTGGTCACCACCTAGATTATATACAAGTCGCTACTGCCCATGGTGGATGTGTCGGGGGAGAGCTAAGAGAGCGACGGGCCAAGAGAGAGTGGCTCCCAGCCATTTACACAGAAAGACGGACGCAGAAGAAGTGGAGGGAGAGGGAGCAGTGCGCTATTCTGAGGATGATGGCGGATCAGAGACAGGTAGGACTGCTGTGGCAGATTCGCCACTTGGCGATCCCGACAGCCCAGTGGATAGCTGCAAAAAGCCAGCATCGGGAAGCAGGCTGCAGGAGGGAAGGGTGCGGGGAAGTGGAATCGATCCCACATGTCTTCGTGCAGTACAGGTTGGTGAAGAGCTTTTGGCAATGGCGAAGGAGAACTCTCCGCTGGCGGTGACAGAAGATGACCTGGCATATATCCTGCTGGGCTCATTGGTGGTGGTCGATAGAGGGGTGACAAGGAGAAACTATACGCGATGGAGGTAACGAGAGCAGCCCTACTGTGGGCAATATGGACATTGAGGAACAACGGCGTCTTTCAAAGACAGCCGTATACCATGCAGGTGCTGAGAAACAGGGCACTCAGAAGCCTGCGCATGGCCGTAATGACGGACCAGCAGAGGGGCCTGCGGAAGTCAGGGGGGCGGGGAATCTGGATTTTGGAGGAGATGGGAACGGTACCTGCAGCTGGTTCACAAAAACGCCGCCAAGGGGCACATGGAATTCAGGCCCTTGCTGCAACAGTACATGGAACCGGAGACTACCGACTGAGGTTAGGATAAGGGGGTATTATTGGAGATAACTAATGGAGGATGGGTGAGGGGGCTCCTTAGAGAGGAGAAGGACAGTCCAGGAGTAGGATAAGGGGTAGCGGTTAGCGGTTACTCGTAGCACGGGGTAGGGCTGGGGAAGGGTAGGGCGTAGGGTGCAGCAAAAAGAAGGAAGATTGACTTGAGGGTGAGACATCAAGACAAGAGGAGCAGGTGAAAGAGGGAGGAATATAGGAGTGAATGGAATAGGAACTGAGTAGGAGTGAAGTGTGAGTTATGCATGGTATACACACATATAACAGAGGAACTAGGAGGAAGGGAGCACCCGTTGGCCGTACAAAGCAGAGGTGCATGTTGTGGAAAAGTGTGAAGTTGGGAACAGTCGGTAGACTGCAGATGCATGATGGGGTCTAGGCCCCCCCATGGGTACACCGCGCTCCATAGTGTGTGTCTGGGTACCGTGAGGAAGTTTCCCGGCCACTATGGGCTCTGAGCTCTGGGCTGGGGAATGGAGCCCCACCATGCCCCTGCAGCTCCCCTCGATAGGTGTCTTGGGCCGTGGGGGAAAGACTGTAACTCTCTGTCTCTCCCTTGCTTGAACTCATGCTTGTCGGTAAATGAGTAATCGCACTGCTGCCCCCAAGAATAGAAGGGGGGGGGGGGGGGGGGGGTGTTTCATTAAAAAAAAAAAAAAACAATAAAAAAGGAAGAAGAAAGAACAAGGCTGGCACTGGCAAAAAACACATGATTTTGTGCCGATGCCTGTATTGCAAAGCTTGACAAGCAGCAGAAGTCTGTGTTGGTCCAGGAGAAAAGAGGGTCGCACGTACCGGTGGTTAAAACCACCAGTATGTTTCCGACCATTTTGGTCTGGCGCTGCATCCTTAGGGGCGCTGGCTACCAGATGAAAAAGGCTAGCACCCCCACGGGAATTGCACCCTGGGCCAGTTCGGCTGCAATTTCTGCATGGCGAAATCTACAATCGGACAAAAAAGGCTCAGACGGTACTCCCTGGGCCCAATGGCAAGCAAGTGAAGTTCCCCACCACCTAACTGGATGTAGCCTCAGGCCAACAGGGTTAAGCAGCACTACACCCTGAGGGCTACCCTGAGGCAGTAGGCTGCTCCTCAAAGCACCAAGACCATAAAGATAGGAAACATTGACAAATCAAAAAATCACCGTCGGACGCCATAGAGAGCAATCAAACATACATCTTTAGACCAATCAGAGACAGCTGCCCTCTCTCTCCATCTGTCCTTCCTCAAAATTTGAAGCCATTTATTTCAACCTTGCTCACAACTCCATGTTGTGCAACATAACATTAATAGAAAGACAAATTCGCTAACGAAAAAGTCTCCGGGAGTGTCTGAACCTAGACATTACGTGAATTTGTCCCTACCACCCTGATTTCCCCCCCCCCCTCTCTCTCTCTCTCTCCCCTTCCCCCCCCAACCCGCGTTTGGGCATATGCACACATACAAAAGCTGGTGTATCTGACGGCACCCACCCATGCATAGTATTGCATACTGAGTAACTGGACACTCTCTCTCTCTCTCTCTCTCTCTCTCTCTCTCTCTCTCTCTCTCCGTTTGCACACATGCACACACACAAAAAGCTGGTGTATCCCAAAGCACCCGTCAACGTATAGTGCTGCATACTGGACACAAACTATCGAAGGTCGACTTAACTTCCCAACAAGTGGGCGACTGTCCTTTTCTTGCAGCTGTACATGCCAAACGTGATCCCTCCCCCCCAATCCCGCTCCTCAACACACACACACACACACACACACACACACAAAACAACGGACTAAAAAAGGGGGGGGGAAGTGTTTTTTTGAAAAACAAAACTAGTCAGGAGTCAGCAGACTCCTTGGGTTTGGCGAGATTGAATGCGGGATAATTAGAGTCGTTGAGAGATTTGAGCCAGACAGCCACTGTTTCCGATTCCTTCTCGGTGCGGGCAATGTGAGGGTACACAAACTGTTTTTTGAAGTCGTCAACCTGTTTTTGGTACGATCTCAAGCTGAGCTCATCGTGTGTTCTAGAGAACCTGTTGTTGTACGCTGTGTAGAAGCATTCGTCGAGCAGCAATCCGAGGTCCGGCGCCATAGGAACGACCATTTGCTGGTCTCTGCGAAAAGACATGTCGATCAAGCTCTCATCAGCGCAGCCCCGCGTGATGGCTACCGCAAGCCCCACCATCTTTCGAATCTGGTGCATCATGAAACTCTGGCCAACAACAGTCAGGCTGACAAACTCCATGCCGTCCATTTCAAAAGGCTTGCTCGCATCGAATGACACTATATAGCGTTTAGCGCTGGGATCAGTCGGAGATACTTTTGTCGTGTAGTTGTAAAAGTTGTGTGTCCCGACAAACTTGCGTAGCACACGTTTCAGCTTCGCGTGCAGTGCATCATCGAACCGAAACTCACTGGCCGTACACTTTGCTGACTCAGCAGCGGTGATCAAATCAGAAGAAGACAGAAGAGGAGGAGGAGGAGGAGGTTGATGAGAAGCAGAAAGAGATCCAGAAACTAGTTCACTTTCAACGTTAAGACGAGAATCACAGTCTCTTCCTCCTCCCTCTGCCCCTCCTCCTCCTCCTCCTCCTCCTCCTCCTCCTCCTCCACATCCTCCTACTGCTACCACACCTGTTTCCACTTCTCCTCCTCCTCCTCCTCCTCCTCCTCTCACTACACCTGTTTCCATTCCTCCTCCCCCTCCTCCTCCTCCTCCTGCATCTGTTTCCATCCCTCCTCCTCCTCCCTCTGCCCCTCCTTCTGCTACTGCTACTGCGACCACACCTGTTTCCGTTCTCCCTCTTCCTCCTACACTTGCTTCCGTGCCTCCTCCTCTTTTACCTGATCCATCGGGATCCAGACCGGTTCCTCCTCCTTTTGCTCCATCCAGATCCCGGCATATCGAGTTATCGTCTTTTCCATCTACTCCCTTCTGTGCTTCATCCTCTTCTTCTCTCTTTTCCCCCACGTCAGCTTTCTTCTCGGGATGAGCATTATAATTATTGTCGTCAACAGAAACAGCAGCAGGGGGGGGTGTCTCCTCCCTCGTTTCCACCCTCGTTTCCACACTTTCGCCATCCACATGGCTGTCATGTTTGATGTCTTCCCCTTCTTCTTTCAACACTTGCTCTCGATCTTGGCCCTCGGACGGCTGTGCAGCGATTCCACTCGCACGGGCGAGCGACGCCGTGCCATCGCCATCGCCGTCGCCACCGCCGCACTGGACGCCAACTTCGAGGAGGTTAACAACAGAATCATCATCGTCTTTCTTCATCTCTTTGTTTGCAGGAGCAATCTTCTTTCTGTCTTCTCTGTTGACAAACACTGTACGACCAAGATTTAGCGTCGAATCAAAGGCGAAAGCAGGTAGCACGTACTCGTATCGACGGCCGTCGCACATCGTGTACGCACTGAACGATGCAGTGACTCTCTTGTACCCCAGGCAGACCACTTGAGGGGGAAGGGCTTTATTCAATCTGTCGGCAAAACCAGGGGGATCGGTGGCTAGCTTCGCAGAGACCACTTGGCCGATGGCACTAACACCCTTGTCCGTTCGAGCGGCTCTCATCCATTGGATCTTCTTCGGATTGCCGAAATCGGTGGACGAGATGGCGCCGACCTTGAAGAGCGCCGCCTCCAATTCTCCCTCGATGGTACGCGCACCGGGATTTCTCTGCATGCCCGAGAACCCAGCGCCGACGTACGCAAGAAACAGGGCCACTTTCCTTCTCTTGTACCGAACGATAGGAGGATCAGGAGAGAGAGAAGCTGACGGCGATGCCGACGCCATCATCGTCTTCGGTCCCATCTGCTCCCCATCCTCGTCCTCGCCATCCCCATCTCGATCTTCATCGCTGTTCACAAACGCACGGTCTTCCTGCAAGCATACCCGCTTCGTAGGCGGAGGGGAGGGGTGCGCCGCTGCCCCCTCCTCCCCGGGTTTCCGCGCGGTTTCCCTGGCGCCACCATCGCTGCCGTTGGGGGGGAAGGCCTCATAGTTAGCACGGCGGGCGCCGTTCGCCGCCATGACGACGGCCGGCGAATCGGTACTCCCAACGGGTTTACGATCTTCTTCTTCTTCTTCTTCACCGCATACCCTCTCCGACCAAGGAGCAGCATGTGCCCCACCGTTGCCACCACCCCCTTCCTTGTCAATACCACCATCGCCCCTAACGATGGCGCTTGTACCCATAGCATGAGCATTGTCTTCTGGACCGCCATCCTCTCCTGTGGCAGCAGACTGCACACCACCATCTGCTAAGGAGTCTCCATCGTGCACACCACCATCTGTTGGGGAGTCTCCATCGTTCAAGCATAGCCTTTTCGCCTGGCTAGGGGAGGACGCGGTTGGCCCCGCCGCACCCGACGGGAGGCAAGCCTCCTCATCGCCGCCATATCGGATCGCTGCGAGATCGTTCCAATGTCCATCAACTGGGGCTTCCTGCTTCCTCTTCGCCCCACTCTGCTGCTTCCCGCTACTCGCTGCTGGTGATCCTGAACCTTGCCCTTCATTGTGGCTACATGCATTGCAGGCCGAATCTTTCCCCTCGTCGCGGCAAGACCTCTCTCTTCGCGCTATTCCACTTTCGTACTCCCCTCCTTCACCTCCCATCGGGATTGCCGACCCGTCATCCACAGCCATGACTGATTCAGCAGCATCCATGGTGGCTATGGTCGATCAAGAAGGCGCATTCGCGACGCCACGTCACCGCGAAACTGACAAAGTGTTTTATTCTCCAGCTCTAGACCTGCAGCAGCGGGGACACACATAAAAAAAATAAAATAAAAAATAAAAAATAAAACACTTCGGCGGCGCAGAGACTCTCCTTTTTTTACCATTGACCAAAAAAAAAAAAAAAAAGGCAGGGACGCGTCCTTCGTGGCCACAGCCCCTCTTACAAGTAAACAAATGTCTGTTCGTTTTGGACCGCAGATCAGAGAGATGAATGCGCGGCCAAAGATGAGTGAATTTGTCGAGGGGCACGGATCACGCCCGATCCCTGAGGGCCATGCACGTGACACAATTCAGAGAAATAGCACTCAGCATTTCCCTGAGGACATCAGCTATAATTGAAACAATAGAACGATACAGAGAAGGGCAAATTATTTACTGAGTGCCTTGGCGCACAACGACCCCGAAAGACACAAATCGCCAAATTACCACCACATCCTCTCTCTCTCTCTCTCTCTCTCTCTCTCTCTCTCTCTCTCTCTCTCTCTCTCTGTGTGTGTGTGTGTGTGTGTGTGTGTGTGTGTGTGTGTG